GAATATTAGGTCAAGCCTAGTTTGACGTTGGAAAGAAATTGAAAAGCAGTTTTGTTGATTTTTGTTGATTTTGAATTTTGATACCAGTAGTGTATTTGTCTATTCATTCATTTCATACCACTCTGAAATTTGTCAAATATCTGGAGTAGGACATTAGTATAAAAATTTCAGAAAAATAAAAAGAAGTTCAAACTATAAGATTTCGATCAATATTAGTTCAAGTCTCTTTTGTTGTCGGAAAAAAAATTGAAAGGCAGGGTTATCGATTTGGATTTCAGTGAAATTTACTTAGGTTTTTGTTTGTTTGTTCACACCCTTCTGACCTTTTTCTCAAAGTTTAAAGTAGGATAAGATTTCAAAGAACACTTAGAAAAAGATAGAAATTCGAAACCTCTAGGCTTCGATCAATCTTAGTTTAATGCCAAGCAAAAGTTTTGAAGGACTCATTTTTCAAAATTTTATTAGTTCCTGTTTCCGTAATTTCAACAATCGTAACAATTTCCCTTTCTGACACATGATCGTTATGTTTTTCCTGTTTCCTTGTTCCCAAGGACATAATAGGGTGAGAATTTCGTAGTCATGCGTTGAACACAAATAATTTGCATTGGCAATTCTATTCACGTCGTTTTCCCAGGGCTTCTTCTCAATATAGCGCCGTCTCGATGGCGCGGTGGTGTTTGTTCGGCAATGGCCTCTGCCCGTGAGTCACTTCCGCATTATCGACGCGCTGCGCGCGTTTGCAGCACTTCCTGGTCTCGTCGTCTGCGCTCACCGCCGCGCGTACACGCACTCGCACACGCGCGCCGATCATAATCATAAAATCCTCCATTTTCTGCAACGGCTACTAGTTACAGCTCGTCATAAACATATCAATAGGCTTCTGCTATATAATACCGGTAATTTTCGAATGCATCGCGCAGAATAGCGCGACTTTCTTTGTTTGAAAATTGCAATCCATTCAAGTTGTTTTTACGAACCCTATGTGCTTGAAATGCTTTTGCTGCAGCCTTGTCCTTTCGTATCTTATCTGGCCCATTCTGGCTTCTCTCTTCCCTTTTTTCGTTATTCCGTTTTCCGCGCCTAACACCCAGTTTCACAAATCGCGCAAACTTGTTCAACATCTTAAACATGAACTTGCAAACTTCTCGCACGATGGCTCTTTCGCAGGATTACTGTAGGTGTGCGGTAAGGGAAAATTCTCGTGTGCAGAGAAGTTTTTGATTGTTGGTATCAGGATTCTAATTCTACACAAATCGCTCAAATTTGTTCGACATGCTGAACACGAAAATGTAATCATCCGCGTGATAGGTCCCTTTTGTAGGATTACTGTAGGTATACTGCAAGAGGTGAAAATGTTTCAACAAATTCTGATTCATCCGCTATCGAGATCCAAATTCTAATACTCAAAATACGTTCATACTTGCTCGACATGTTAAATACGAAATCAGTAAGATTTGGCATGATAAGGCTTCCCTAGGATTACTGTAGGTGTACGGTAAAAGGTAAGTTTTCAGCACATGTTGAAATCTTTGCATGCTGACTATTTATTATATAAACCTTATGGGAGTTATATGATAGGTACGTTGAAAATGATATTGTTTCACAAGAAAAATCCCTCCTTGAAATTATTGTAGGTATACGGTAAGCTGTCAGAATCTCAAACTTCTACTGGAAATTTGCGTGAAGTTATTAGACATGCTCATTACAAATATCATTCACAGTTTTTGGGGCAAACTACTACTGCTGAGCTTAGATGTGACATACCATACGCTTACCGTACTCTGCAAAATTTTATCATGCAAAGTAATATCATTGTATATCACTTCCGTGATCGGTACATCTCCTCCTCTTCCTCCTCCTCTCTCCTCTCACTCTCTTATTTTAACCCTCCTCATTACGCGTTTCTAACCAACCACCACAAAATGGTCCACCCAAGTTTAGTTTCAGCTAAATTTTACGTTACGTGGTGTCCATAATCTCACAAGGCCTAACGTTGAAATAGCGCTCGCGTTTTTGACGGCGTGCGGTGTACTTTGACGTCACTTGTTCGGAGGATAACGGATGTAATGTGGGGATTCTCTCAAATATTGATGCACTAATTCGCTTTCCCTTGCAAAAATTTCCAATTTGTATGCTGTCTCGATTTTCAATCGTCACTTCTCCTGTCTGTCTTTCTAATTTTTGTAAAACTACAGCAATCTTGTGTTTTGAACAAGTTTCCATGGAAATGCGATTGTAAACCAGACATAAAATTTTCTTCTTTAGAATTTTTCTGTGTTCTGATTTATATGTTAGTCTATAATGAGGGTGTTGCAGGGGTTCCGTGACAATCTTTCATTTCCTCTTAATTTTTGATTTTATAAAAATTTAATGACAGTCTATAGGGGCACGTCTGACGAGATAACCATACGTTCGGCTTTTTATTGATGAACTCAGAAATTTTACGGGAATTCCCGCAGGACAGGCACAATTTCCAGCGCATCACGATATTGTTTACCATCACAAAAGTGCGATCGTCGAAAGTGGGAATTTCCTTAGGAATTTGAGCTTAGTTTGATCGAAAGCGGGAACTTCCGCAGCATCATACGCAAAGTGCTGCGGAAGTTCCCAAAACTTCCAACGGTTCCGAAGTACTTTGAGTTGGCGGTACTTGGGCAGCACTTCGGCGGAACGGCTGTGCTTGCTCCCTCTGACATAAATTTGCATAAAGGGAGGTCTAGATAGGACTTGGTGGCCTGATCTTGTCTTTGTTCTCTTTTCTTTTTTTACGAAAGAATAAAAAATATAATCTGATTTTATGGAACTGCTAGTTTCTGATTTATTAATATACCAGAACAATGTCAGTTTGTACTTTTCCTTCCCAGCATGTCAACGTCTTTGTATTTTCTCATGTCCAGTTTGGGAGCGTAGCAGATAAGAACCAGGAAGTTCCGGCTGCGGGTTGTCATTTTATGGCCATGCAAGTCATGCTATATGCACGTGCTTGGTGTACTTTTTCTGTTCGAGACGTGCGCTGCAATCGTTCCTTGAAAAGCAAAAAACCGAGGAGACTTCCAGGCCGTTCATGCGATAAAAGCGCCAGCCCTTGAATTGATTTAGTGCGGAGCGCATTAGTGAGTTTAATCTGGCGCTTATTGCGTGTGTACATGATATATACAGAAAAAACTGCTGCAAGGTCTTCCTCCAAAGCCGCAGAGAATTTTGGATGCATTTATCTTCGTTCGGCTACTTTAAAAGAGGCGAGGGGGAGGGAAGGGGGGGGGGGGATGGGGTCATTGTGGGAACAGTTTTGAAAGGATATAACACGTTGCGTACTCTGCATAAAAATAAAAAATTTTGTAAGCTGTAAGCCCTCTGCACTTTTTTGTGTGCTACCGTAATCAAACTGCAAAGTTACCAGAGAGAGTTGCGATTCCGGCATTGTGCGCACTATACTTCGTGGTGCTTTTTTTTGCGCGGGCGATTCGCGTGCGAGGCGCGTCGGCGGCAAATACACGTGGCAATTCCGGCACGCCTGGTCGCAAATGCCACACTTCCGTGTGCGATTACGGTAACTACAGTGATGTTGACTTCTTGATCTTTTCTTTCCTTCCAAATTTTCATTGTACTTATTCATCTGAAAATTTTACCTGATTTGCAGATTTTCCGATTTAGAACATCATAACTGTTTCCTCAAGATTAAAAACATTTTGAATTTTGCTATTAGATTGAGCAAAATTTTTTTATCATAGGAACAGGACGACCGGAAAAGGACAAGCGAGAGCTGAGCGAAATTTTGATGTCAAAAATTTTTTTAACCCGTCTAATCTGAGAGTAATGTCCCAAAGGTGGGCAAACACATTTGGCAGCAGCTTTATTGAGTATTACAAAAATTGTATTATAGCTCGAAAGTAATCCATGTGGTTTTAGCTCTATAGAAACTTGCAATGAAGACAAAAAACAGCAACAAAAAATCAAAACAAAAAACAAAAAAAACAATAAAATGCCCTTCTCCAGGCGCACAATTCGTCTTTCTGTTTGATTTCTACGCTTTAGATAAACTTTGCTTTAATGTAAACAATATTGAGCGTATTAACTGTAGCTATGCGTAGTGTTGATATTTGTAGATTAGCTGAAAAAATCTTCAATGTTTAAAGACAAATTTGAAAAGTTCACCATTCTTTCAGTCTAATCAAAATGTGCATATGGCAGGTTCTTATACCCTTACCAATCACAAAATATTACATGGGTAGTATTAAACTGCGGAGTTCCTTGATTTTTCTTGAGTATTATTGCATCTTGGCAGCAATTTGTCGCTTGATTCGGTAATTGGGAAGTACTTCAATAAGGCAAAACAAGTATTGTAAAGAGCAAAAAAAGATCTTCTCAAATATTGATTATTATACTGCAAAAAATATGAAACCCTTAAATACTGCGTTGAACACATGGCAATTAAACATGGATAGAAATCTTAGAATACCTGACAATGATTTGCCTGGGATCTTTTAGTGCCTAAGAATAGAAGTGTATATTGAGAGATTTCGAATTATATATCGCTAGATCAAAGACAATTGCATGATATCTGCTCTCCTTATTTTTTCATAAAAGCAGTTTTTATGGATTTTACAGAAGCCGTCGCTGGACCAACACGAAAAATTATAGTGAGGTTTTGGGTCGATAAAAATGTGCAATTTTGAAATTCTTAAATTTTTATTTGTTCTCTGTAGTATGACGTTTAAACTGTGGAGATCGGGCAATCAAATCCGAGTGGCAAACAATCAGCTGTCAGGTGGAAAGCTTCCTGTTCTCAAAGATACATTCATCGTCTCTTCATCTTGTAATCCCCTTTCTTCTTTTTTATGGACTTCTTAGTCTTGACTTAGTCTAGGATATTAAACCAGTAGATCGAACCTCTCTGAACTCGGTTTTTCTTGATATTGTACGTTGAACTTTGATTAGATTATGTCTAGTCGTACTTGATGTGATAATTGTTTTGAAAACCAGTAGCCGTTTGTTTCCAGATGAAACTACTCCTATTCACACTTATGTGTGTAATTGCGACCTGTTCTGGCGATATTATCCGGACGGTATACTGTAGAAATCAGTGCACTGACTACATCAGCATTCCAGAAATTTCTATGCCTCTCTGCGCTCCGGAACATCTCAAAATGAAGGAGTGTGGCTCAGGTTGGTCCTAGCTGGAGAACCTTTATGAAACAGTGCTAAAATTGTAAACTGTTTAGTTATTACTTGTGACTGGGCCGAGGCCGAACGTGACAATGCGAGACCGATAGCGAATATTAGCTCTGATGTCATTTGCTGCTATAGAGCTACAATTGTGAGTTTGGAAACCCTTGGCTAGCCTAGCATTGAAAAAATTATATTTTTTCCAGAAGGAAAAAGGTGACTGTGCCGAAACCATGACAGCAGAGCTACCACGAAAGGATACCTCACCAGAGTTAGTGGTAAGATTTTTTCGTTATATAGTTTATCCCTGGCTTAGTTCGTAATTTTTACAGGCACTCACCGATATTTGCACTATACACTTTGTGCCTTGGTTACTTTGTACTGTCTTACTCGTTGTTGTGATCCTGCAGGTTCGTTCTTCAGTTCAGTTGACACTAATAGTTATTGATTTTCTACTTGTTTTGTTTTTCTCCAGTCATCTGACTTCGTCTTACAGTAAGAAAACTGAAGCTCAGTAGGTGATACCTAGAGAAAGTTCACCATTACGCCCGACCTGGTTACGGTAGCTTTGCCGTCAAAATCACACAATAGCGTGCTCGTTTTTTCTTTTCTGCTATGCACATTTTTCTTACTGTAAGAGAGACGAACGGCAAATGCAAAGAAATTTTCCTGCAGAAAGTTTTGATATAATGGGACAGACGCTTGATTCGGGTGGAGTGATAATGATTTTAGCAAACTATTCAGGGGTGATCTGCGCGCAAGTTCTTTTTCTTCTTAGGGAAAGTAATGGAGGAACAAAAAATGAACAGTGTCACTCTTAATTTTTGTAGAGAAGAATCGTGTAGTTAACAGACTGTTCGCACATTCCATAGAGAATAGCCGAATTTCACAGAGTACGCACAGAATTACAGGGGCAGAATGTATCGAGCATTTCGCTAAAAACTCTTGTAAAAACATCTTTCGCGGACTTTTATGTAAGGCAGGCTCCAATTTAGATTCGATACAAATTAAGGAATCCACGGTGACCCTTTCCCATCTGACGGGGAGAGGGCACTTTGTGGCCGTGGCCTTTCGATATGTGACACGTGTAATGACATTCGCTTTGAAACTCTGATCTCAAAACTGTATTCGTTATCTGCAGTACGATATTCCGGAAAAACCGTATTTCCCTCATATGACGTAAGAGTACAAGTAATTTCGATAGGTGCCAAAGGTTTCGTGTGGTCTAGTCTAGCGCCGTTGATTATTGCGCAATGGATGCTCGTTTGATCTCGGTTGGTGCAAATTTGGTGTTAGCGCTTTTACAAGCGCTAATTCTTCTCGGAAGAGCGTTCTGCAGCAAAAGAAGATAGTTTCGAAATCAGCGTTTCAAGGCAAGCATTTTAATATACAACATATTCCAAAAGGTTACGGCCTCCAGTTATCTTTCTTTTGTGAGAAGTAAATTTAAGGCCAACCTTAAGCGTTGATATATTTTTTGGAAATTCATGTATGTGGTCTTGCTGAAGCAAATTAGGTGAAATGAGTGGAAGAATTGATACCATTCGAAAGCCTCCAAGAACTACCGTTTCCCACATGTTAAGCAGTAGCATATTGAACAGCACCACTAGTTCGCGGAGGGGTGGCGACTATTGTCGGTATCAGCCTTTCTTCTTTTTGCTCTTTGGAATTGGGAATTGATAAAAAACGAGTTACCAGGTTTTCCCATTTGTAGGAAGACTTATTCCGATAACATGCTCATGTACTGCACGTGCATTGTTCCTGAGATCTTACTCATTCAGGCAATCTACATAGTGAAGCTGAGCATCGCAAGACCATCTCACCAGAAAGTTACCCAATCCGAAGATCCGCCATTGTTACCACAAGTAGTAGTCGCACATCCGATTGTCAACACCCGGCCACTAAGTCCAGCAATTCCACTTCAGTGAATGGTACACTACTTTCACTTCAAACATAGACAATATGACAATTGTTCTTCGGCGGATATGTGAACGAATTTAGGTAATGTGAATTGTGTGCTGTCTAAGAGTGGATGTGTAAGTAATATTTTCTAGTGGTGCTCAAATGGATATTCTATTGTCTCTCACTTTGTCGAATGTTCATGACTTCTGCTGTACTATACCTACATTGCCGAGTGCGGGTATCTTGTGTTTGTTTTGTGATCTCAACGTCTTTACGTGTAAAATGTATTAGGTTGTCTGAAAGTTGGGAATGTTTAGATCCATATTCATTTCTTTTTTGTAATGAATTCTTGTGTTTGAACTCCTGCGAAGAAGGCCTTCGTTTTACACTTTTACAGCATTCTGCTGTTAGACATCTTAGCGGCTGCTAGCTGGCTTTCCCAGTCCAGCGCGGGCCATTGTTGACTGGAGATACGGTGCTGTATTGGTCGCCAGCATAACCTTATTCTTGTTATCACGGGCCTTCATTTCCAATCGCCGCATTCTCATGACCCTGGCATTGCAATTACCTTTAATTCGATTCACCGCATTTCCATGATCCTGACATCGCAATTACCGTTTACGTTTACTTGACAATGAGAAAATGTTTGGTTGAAACATAATGACCTTTCATTTTCTCAAACAATACGTAAACAAATCAATAACGGTAAATCCAGCAAATCGCCGCAAAAAGAAGCCTGTCCTCCACTGCCGTTCAAAGTCCTGGGCATACCTCGCGCAATTCCTGTCGCCACGCGATTTGGCTATACTCCATAAAACTATCGTAAGCATATACTATATGGACAGAAGATGGGCATTTTATCGATCTGCGAAAGTTGTACATATTATGAATTTGTAGGATGCAGCTGTTAGACTTGAAGAGATCTGGCAGATTGAGAATCAAACCGATCTGGCAAACATTGCATGGTGTGCCCGGCATCTGAGTTGTACGGAAACCACTCCGTTAAAAAATTCCAAAAATCCGAATAGTTGCGTACCAAAGTTTCGCGTGCTGTCTGCACAACCTTTCACGAGTTTCTAAAGTTTCTTCCTGGAACACTGAAAAAAAAGGTATTACTGTATATTTGGCATGACCCGTAGAAGTAATCATTGTGGTAAAGTTTGTATTTTATACAAAAAGTTAGCGACTCTAGCTAGCCTAATATAAGAATTTCAGTCAGTTCTGTACTAAGGGAGAATGTGCCTTTCAACAGCCCAAAACCCTCTTAGAAATTCTATAGCGATTTTACGTAATAAGAAGTGACTGATGATTCGCTTCATACTATATAAGTCTAAGATTAAGCCGCTAGCAGGGTTAGCCTCTACTCAAATAACAGGGTTATTGAGAATCAAACATTGGGCACATTTCTCTGAGACGCCTTGTACATTGATTACTCTATATATCATAACTTTACATGCATAAGTTCATGTTATTCGTGGCCGGATGAAATGCAGATTATGGAAAGAAAATCTGCAGCATTTCGCACCCTCGGGACGTCTATATTTCTGCTTGCCGCTCATCAAGCTCAGAGCATTTTCATCGTTTACGTCATCAAATTTCTCTTGCATGGTTTCGCGGTTATGGTATTGATAGAGTTCCATAATTGTTGTTGACCATCACAACTCATGACACCATATTCAGCTGTTTTTTCGCAATGACGTTTCGCGAATGCGTTAGCACCTATCCTGCAATTATCAATCAGATACAAAAGGCTACATAGCAAGGATTGCATATGAGCAACGAGGTTGATGACAAAAAAATCTTCAGTTCCTGTAAGTTACAAGCACTCGCAATCGCAATGTGGTGGTTTTGTATAAAGTCGTGGAGCATAGGATTTGAGCAAAGGTCAACAAAATTGGGTTAATGAAGAACTTACTGAATCAATCATGTCTTTTTTTCAATTTCACTTACTTGGTGCGTGGATGGAAGCAATAGGATGCAAGAAAAATCAAGAAGAGTTCGAGTTCAGTAGAAAGAGTGTATTTACAGGTTTGAGTCTTATAGATAAATTCTGTCTCTGCCATCTTCTTCGAAGCTCAATCTTTTTGTTGAACAACGTCTTTCACACTGAAGTGCAATGACCTTTATGCTATGAGAGAATCTTTCAAGATTCGGTGTTTACAGCGACTTTAAAGAAACAAAATTTTTACTAGTTTTTATGTGAAACATTTGTACAAACATTCGCCACCATCCAAACTGTTATTGTACTTGTGGCGGTTACAACAATTACACAACACAATCAGCTGTTCAAGAGACTGTACGCAATCTTCAAATATTCATGTTTGTTGGATAACAACCCTAACCTTATTTACCTCTCACTTCTTTCCTGCGACGCATGTCCGTTTGTATGCTGTTTCGCTCTGCGATGGAACCCGATTGTAAAGCTGCCAATTTCTGCTGCAAACGCGCCTTTCCCGGCATTTTTTCGCGTTTGTTGGGGAGTTGTGATGAGCTATCAGAAGGCGCTTGTCTAGAAAAAGCTGCGTAACCCGCAGCACTGGGTACACCAGTATAACCAGACTGTTGTGGAAGCATCTGTTCTCGAAGTTTCGCAAGCTTTGGCTGCTGGAATCGGTAGAGCAATTCATCTTCTTTTTCTGACAAATCCTGAGGATAGAATGAAGAAGCCTGCAGGATTCTCGGCCCACTGGAGCCATGTGGTTGTTTCATGTTAGGGCCATCATATTCTCTGTAATTGCCTTCAAAACTAGGTGCCGCATCGTTATAAGCGTAAGATGGCTGCTGCAAAAATTCCTCCCTAGTACTAGGCAATAGCGGTTTTGCTTGGAATCCTTGGAGCTTAGTGTCTTTTTCAGGGTAGAAAGTTTCTGCTGTTGGAAAAGAAGAGGGGTCTTCTATAACATCAGAAACGGTGATTCGCGGTTGCTGTGCTGAAGGTAATTTCGTAGTAGTTTCTACCGCTTCACCAAGCCACGAAATCTGTTCTACTCCGAATGGTTTGGGCGTCGTCGCGTTCAAGTGCTTTGGAATAGTCGAATGCATCTCACTTGGAGCATCTTTCGGAAACTCTAAGCGCTTCTCAAGAGAAAGATATTGTTCATACCCTCTTACGCCGTTTCCATACAAAGCGGTAGATTCTCCCTGATCGAAACTGTAAAGCTGTGGCAAATCTGAAGGATTACTGGGTAGTAATTGTGAGGCGACTGGCTCTGTTGGCAAAGGTGGCCTAAATGAGAGTTCGTATGGCATTGAAAGTTGATCAAGACTTTTGTTTCTTAGCGTTTGGTTCTGTATATCGTGTGCCCTTTGCTCTTGGATATATTTTTGAGCTACGGGGTTGAGCTGAAATTTTTCAGCTTTTGATGGATCAGCATTTAACATCTTTTCAGAAGATGATTTGTCACTTGGTTTTTGCAGGGCTTTTCCTAGAAAAGGTGCAAGTTTGGCTTGTGCAGCTTTTTCTTGGAATGGGGTAATATAACCGGAGTATGGAGGCAAGTTATTATCAAAAGGTTTGCTTTCTTCGATAAGGGCTGGCATTGGGTGAGGTCTTGCATAGACGCACTGAGGCTCGCATCTTGGCCTACATGGAGCCAAGCAATTTTTGACTGTCAAAGCGCGTTTTTCCGTAATTATGTTGATTTCAGTCACTTTGTGTTTGAGAAGAGGGAACATATTAATACACCTCCGTTCGCATGGTTGCGGGCACAATGAAGTGCAGGTCTCGGCTGTGAATACAGTCGTACAAGATCTTGTACACGACTCTTGGCAAACCGGAAGACAACGCTCAACAGGGACGAATTTGGGCATCACCACAAGGATAGGAACGACGTGCTGATTCATGCATGAGTGTGAGCACGAATATCCGCAAGAAGCCGCACAACTGGTGGCAAATATGCTACTAGCACAGGTAGAGGTGCATGTGCGCAGACACGTTGCTTGACATTGCGAAAGCTGCCACCGCACAGCACACGGGCAGATGTGCTGGAGTGTGGGTCTCAAGCAGGTGCATTGCGCAGCGACTCCAGCTAGACATTTGCACGGTGGTGGCATTGGCATTACTTCGGCACATGGGCACTGTCGTTTGAGGCGAGCAACAGAGATCTGAACACTTGAGTAATTGAGCATTCCGTTATTTGAAAACAAAACACTAAGAATTAGAAGGTATACATTTGGCACTTTTCCTTTCCATTAATTATCAACTTTGTAGAAAAACAAAAATATGGTAAATACCGTTTTCTCTTTTGAGATGCCTCTTAAAAAAGCCACATTGCTAAACCGCTTTTGCTTCTCATATTCTAGATAACTTGATGTGGACTCCAATAGTGAATGCTTTGTTTTCGTTTTATGTCTCTGTTTCTTTTTTGCGTAAAACAACTACACAGTGAGGGAAACATAACGCTTGGCATACTCAAGGTAAATATTATCTAAAAACCAAAAAAAATCATACATTCCTTACCTTGCTTGGTAAGACAACAGGCAGCACCAGAAAAAGCGCAAACGTGGTGCGCATCGCTGCGATGTAAGCGTTGATAATCTTTTGTAAGAAGCTTTTATACTACTCAGCTGAGAGGACACGACCAGAGCAAAACCAGACAAGTGCGACAACTTTTTTACACATTATCATATTTTCCACCACCTTTAGCTAAAATAATCAGATTCTTGCAGCTAATAATTGAGATACAATCGAATTTCAAAATAAAAGTTTTATATTAGGAAAGTCTCAGCCCAAACTACACTATATGACGGCCACATACTTTGTTCACATTCACACTTCAGTGTCATGCTTTAAATGCTTTACTTGCCAATTGGTAGACTTGATACATGAAGTTGTAATTGCGCCATTATGTGAATTTGATATCAAATGTTCAGATCAACCCAGTAGAACAATGGTAAGTGCATCTTTTGTAAGCATGACACTTGACCGGTCTTAGGCCACGAACTGGAAAAATGACTCGATTTTTTATGCGCGCCCCGAGGTGAAATGCAAAACCATGTCAAGTGGGCTGATGCCAAGCAAGTTGTGTTACAAGCATCAACCGAAACGTATGTAAACCCTACAAAGTCTATGTTCCAACCAACCCAGTTGCTTTGGTAACGGTCATAACTTAGAATTTAGACAGCCCGTCTTCACGGTGCGAGCTCCGGCACAAAAGCTTCCAACGTGTCCTCGCTTTAGACATCCATCTTCTTGGTGGTTATAGGTTGCTGCGCACGAGTTGCAGGGGGCGAAAATCGTATTTAGCTGATTTCTCAGCTAGTCCATCCTTTCCATAAACACGTCTGCCCATCTCGTTGGAGGCCTTCCTCGGGGGACGGACTTTTGCTTTGTAAGGAATCAATTCTGATGTTTTCAGTGTCCATCTCTCGTCTGTTCTTCTCATGATGTGACCGGTCTATGGATGCTTTTCTTTCGCGACTATTCCTGGGTCACGATGACGGGACATTCTTCTTATATCTGTACTGTGAAGTCCAACAAGATTTGTGGCTGGTCATCTTCTGAAGACTGCGCTCAAGCTTCTGTGGGTGGTCTAAAGCAGCTTTCACGT